TAACTTAAGATTAACCAAAGAGTGAGGTCGACCACCCAAGGACCTGGAAGACTGGCGACAGTTCAATTACGTGTCCAGGAACTGGACCAAAACCGAAGGTGATTATAGATCTGTTATCACCTTATCCGATAATGAGCAAGTGCAATAATCAAATTAAGTTCTCGAGTACCATAACTCTAGTCGTCTGAGACGCCGTAATGTGATATCCCTTACTTCTCTAATTATTTTTTTGCCGACTTCAATGAGGGTGTAATTGTATCAGATACGCCGACTTGTGGAATATATCAGTCCTTAGATAGTGGTGTTGGAGAGTTAGATAGCGATACCTGGGGAGGGCCACGTGGAGATGACCAGTGCCCCGCAGGAGTGTGTGGCACCCAGTGCCAGCCATGGTAAGTTGGGTGTACAAGGACCCCCTTGTTTAGTGTCGGCGGATCATTGGTCCTCTCACATTCTTCAGGTAACACCCTTTTTTGATGCCTTCTCCGTCCTTTCTCAGCGTGATCGGGTTCCCCGATATTTCGCAAGTTTGATTGACATGTTTCGTGATATTCTTTTACGTTTTGAGACCAGATCCAAAATATTGTAAATGTTTACTTGACGATGGAACGTGAGACGTGGTTATGTAGTACTGGAGACAGACAAGCTACACTATTATCCCCTCGCTGTAACCACTCGTGACAACTACGCCGTTACGAGCAACCAACGGACGCCAACCCTCGCTTATAACGTCTCATTAACGCCTAGCGAGGACTCGGCTCACCTCCCGGGCGCTTGGCGAGCCTCGCTTCTCTTTTTGCCATCCCGGAAACATCACTGCTTGAACCACTTACCTTGCCAGGCCTTCATCAAGCACTTAACTCTCCTCCTTACGGAACCTGTACATCTCTCATTAACCACGGTGGCATAGTCTGCAAACATTGAACACTTTATAAGCATGGAAGAGTTGCGAGGTGGATCATATCAGTGATAATCTTAGGGTCAAGAACGTCCTCGCGGCGTCGCCCAGTTACGAGGCCGCTTGATAAATACAGATTAAGCCGCCGTGATTGAGGGAAGATGCACAGGTTCCGTAAACCTTCCCCCCCCCACCTCCTCCTCCCTCTATGTATGATATTCATGTTCATATGTTCTTCATACACATTACCCAAACACCACCCACCCCACACCATCCCCCACCTACCCCACACAATCCCCACCCCCACCCCACACCATCCCCCACCCACCCAACACCATCCCCACCCCCACCCCACACCATCCCCCACCCACCCACACCATCCCCCACCCCCACCCAACACCATCCCCCACCCACCCCACACCATCCCCCACCCACCCCACACCAACCCCCACCACCCCACACCATCCCCCACCCACCCCACACCAACCCCCACCAACCCCACACCAACCCCCACCCACCCCACACCATCCCCCCCCCCACCCCACACCATCCCCCACCCCCACCCCACCCACTCAATGCTCTCAACAGAGATGAAGTAGTTGGGAGCAACAATGACATTATTGACATATAACCAGATATATCAGTGGGGCGCCGCCCCCCCTACCTATCCTCGCTATATATGCACATATGTATCTCTCGGGTATGTCAATATGCCAGGGGTATGCGGTTACCGGGTATGACTCACCCAGCGGGGGGGGGGGGGGGGGATCACCTCGGGCATGACAGATATACCCAGGGGAATAGTGGTGGTATAACTGATATACCCTGGGGTATAGTGGTGGTATAACAGATATACCCAGGGGAATAGTGGTAGTATAACAGATATACCCTGGGGTATAATGGTGGTATAACAGATATACCCAGGGGAATAGTGGTAGTATAACAGATATACCCTGGGGTATAATGGTGGTATAACAGATATACCCAGGGGAATAGTGGTGGTATAACAGATATACCCAGGGGAATAGTGGTGGTATAACAGATATACCCTGGGGTATAGTGGTGGTATAGCAGATATACCCTGAGTATAGTGGTGGTATAACAGATATACCCAGGGGTATAGTGGTGGTATAACAGATATACATAGGGGTATAGTGGTGGTATAACAGATATACCCTGAGTATAGTGGTGGTATAACAGATATACCCAGGGGTATAGTGGTGGTATAACAGATATACCCAGGGGTATAGTGGTGGTATAACAGATATACCCAGGGGTATAGTGGTGGTATAACAGATATACCCAGGGGAATAGTGGTGGTATAACAGATATACCCAGGGGAATAGTGGTGGTATAACAGATATACCCAGGGGAATAGTGGTGGTATAACAGATATACCCTGGGGTATAGTGGTGGTATAGCAGATATACCCTGAGTATAGTGGTGGTATAACAGATATACCCAGGGGTATAGTGGTGGTATAACAGATATACCCAGGGGAATAGTGGTGGTATAACAGATACACCCAGGGGAATAGTGGTGGTATAACAGATATACCCAGGGGAATAGTGGTGGTATAACAGATATACCCAGGGGAATAGTGGTGGTATAACAGATATACCCTGGGGTATAGTGGTGATATACCAGATATACCCTGAGTATAGTGATGGTATAACAGATATACCCAGGGGTATAGTGGTGGTATAACAGATATACCCAGGGGAATAGTGGTGGTATAACAGATATACCCAGGGGAATAGTGGTGGTATAACAGATATACCCTGAGTATAGTGGTGGTATAATAGATATACCCTGGGGTATAGTGGTGGTATAGCAGATATACCCTGAGTATAGTGGTGGTATAACAGATATACCCTGGGGTATAGTGGTGGTATAGCAGATATACCCTGGGGTATAGTGGTGGTATAGCAGATATACCCTGAGTATAGTGGTGGTATAACAGATATACCCAGGGGAATAGTGGTAGTATAACAGATATACCCTGAGTATAGTGGTGGTATAACAGATATACCCTGGGGTATAGTGGTGGTATAGCAGATATACCCTGAGTATAGTGGTGGTATAACAGATATACCCAGGGGTATAGTGGTGGTATAACAGGTATACCCTGGGGTATAATGGTGGTATAACGGATATACCCAGGGGAATAGTGGTGGTATAACAGATATACCCAGGGGAATAGTGGTGGTATAACAGATATACCCTGGGGTATAGTGGTGGTATAACAGATATACCCTGAGTATAGTGGTGGTATAACAGATATACCCAGGGGAATAGTGGTAGTATAACAGATATACCCAGGGGAATAGTGGTGGTATACCAGATATACCCAGGGGAATAGTGGTAGTATAACAGATATACCCTGGGGTATAGTGGTGGTATAGCAGATATACCCAGGGGAATAGTGGTGGTATAACAGATATACCCAGGGGAATAGTGGTAGTATAACAGATATACCCAGGGGAATAGTGGTGGTATAACAGATATACCCAGGGGAATAGTGGTGGTATAACTGATATACCCTGGGGTATAGTGGTGGTATAACAGATATACCCAGGGGAATAGTGGTGGTATAACAGATATACCCTGGGGAATAGTGGTGGTATAACTGATATACCTTGGGGTATAGTGGTGGTATAACAGATATACCCTGGGGTATAGTGGTGGTATAACAGATATACCCAGGGGAATAGTGGTGGTATAACAGATATACCCTGGGGAATAGTGGTGGTATAACTGATATACCCTGCGGTATAGTGGTGGTATAACAGATATACCCTGGGGTATAGTGGTGGTATAACAGATATACCCAGGGGTATAGTGGTGGTATAACAGATATACCCAGGGGTATAGTGGTGGTATGACAGATATACCCAGGGGAATAGTGGTGGTATAACAGATATACCCTGGGGTATAGTGGTGGTTTAACAGTTATACCCTGGGGTATAGTGGTGGTATAACAGTTATACCTCTGGGGTATAGTGGTGGTATAACAGTTATACCCTGGGGTATAGTGGTGGTATAACAGTTATACCCTGGGGTATAGTGGTGGTATAACAGTTATACCTCTGGGGTATAGTGGTGGTATAACAGTTATACCCTGGGGTATAGTGGTGGTATAACAGTTATACCCTGGGGTATAGTGGTGGTATAACAGTTATACCCAAGGGTATAGTGGTGGTATAACAGATATACCCTGGGGTATAGTGGTGGTATAACAGTTATACCCTGGGGTATAGTGGTGGTATAACAGATATACCCTGGGGTATAGTGGTGGTATAACAGATATACCCTGGGGTATAGTGGTGGTATAACAGATATACCCTGGGGTATAGTGGTGGTATAACAGATATACCCTGGGGTATAGTGGTGGTATAACAGATATACCCTGGGGTATAGTGGTGGTATAACAGATATACCCTGGGGTATAGTGGTGGTATAACAGATATACCCTGGGGTATAGTGGTGGTATAACAGATATACCCTGGGGTATAGTGGTGGTATAACAGATATACCCTGGGGTATAGTGGTGGTATAACAGATATACCCTGGGGTATAGTGGTGGTATAACAGATATACCCTGGGGTATAGTGGTGGTATAACAGATATACCCTGGGGTATAGTGGTGGTATAACAGATATACCCTGGGGTATAGTGGTGGTATAACAGATATACCCTGGGGTATAGTGGTGGTATAACAGATATACCCTGGGGTATAGTGGTGGTATAACAGATATACCCTGGGGTATAGTGGTGGTATAACAGATATACCCTGGGGTATAGGGGTGGTATAACAGATATACCCTGGGGTATAGTGGTGGTATAACAGATATACCCTGGGGTATAGTGGTGGTATAACAGATATACCCAGGGGTATAGTGGTGGTATAACAGATATACCCTGGGGTATAGTGGTGGTATAACAGATATACCCTGGGGTATAGTGGTGGTATAACAGATATACCCTGGGGTATAGTGGTGGTTGTTCATGGGGGCGGGAAGGACTTGAGAACCAATGACCAGTTTACAGATAGGGTTATCTTGAGGTTATCTTGAGGTTATCTTGAGGTTATCTTGAGGTT